GGTGGGATCCCGTCACCCCCGGCACACTTGCCGTTTCGCAGCTGAACAAGTACTCTCTGCGTCTCATCCAGTGTCGGCGTTTCCGCTAGATCCGCCTTCACATCGTGCTGCTTCAGGCCATTCAATGTAGGCCAGTCGATCTCTGAACGGTTGTACAAGAGACAGTCAAAGTGTTTCCGCCAGACCTGCATTATGTCTGCAGTTTGGGTGCAGGTAGCGCCTGAATTACCATCCATCAGTGTCCTCAGCGGCTCCAATCTCGGTCCATACACCGCCTCCAACGAGTCAAAGAATTCCTTGTGTTCACGGCGTTCGGCGTGGCATTCCATCTGCCTCGCCTTCTCCGTCCACCATGCATTTTTAATGCGACGGAGCTCTCGGGTCAGTCGCCGTCGAAGTTTGCGAAACTGACTACTCTTCCCCAAGTCAATGGGGTCTGCCACATGTGCAACAAATGCTGCATTCTTCTCTGACACCAATGCCCCAATCGTCACATTGTCGTCATCAAACCAATCAGGCCGCTTACAGTTTGCGCGCCCGATGGTCTCCTCCGCAGCAGCTGTCACCTGGTCGCGAATGTGGTGCCACAGGTCGCCCACTGTGGCTATACAGTCCACATCACCACACAGGCGTGCAGTCATCGCCTTCTCCAGCTCAGTACGTTTTGACCCAGTACCGAGGGAGAGTATGTTAAATTTACGCCGATTCACGGCGGGAGTGCAGTACGTAGATTCACGAAAATATATATACAGTTTGGTCCGCACCAATTTGTGATCAGTGTCACACTCAGTTCCACGCAGTACGCGTGTCATGCGCACTCCACGCATATCACGATGACGTACGATGACATAGTCGAGCAGGTGAGCGTGACCACTCCGTGGGTGCGTCCAAGTTGCTATATCTCTTGCACTCAGTGCAAACCGAGTGTTCGTGATCGTCAGGCCGTGAGTGGCACACAGTGAGAGCAGCCTGTCACCGTTCGCATTCGCTGAACCAATGCCATGCGCACCGATAACATCTGTCCACACCGATGCATCACGCCCAACGCGCGCGTTGAAATCACCCAGCAGAAATAGTCGGTCGCTCCTCGGCACAGACCGTATCACGGAGGATAGCTCTGTGTAGAACTGATCACGCGTGTCATCAGGATAACATATGGTCGGACCGTACGTGCTTATAAAGGTGGCAAACTTACCTCTTCCGAGTCGTAGGCGAACAGTCATCAGTCGCGCGCTGATGCCCGTTGGTTCACCCACCAGCTGGCCATTCAGGCGATCGGATATTGCAAATCCTACCCCATGTTCACGTGGTGCTGAGGTGGCGTTGCCCACCCAGTAGAATGTGTAGCCAGCACCTGCTTCATGTAAGTTACCTTGCTCAGCGAGCCGAGTTTCACTGAGCGCCGCAATATCGATGTGGTAGCGGGCCAGCTCCATTGCGACCAGTGCAGTGCGTCGCTCCGGGCGCTCGCTCGAGTTCCGGTCCAGTAGTTTGCGTAGGTTCCAGCACCCGATGCTGAGTGCTTTGCGCGCAGGCATACGATTACATTGGTGGGCAATCGCACGCGAGGTGGTCGTTGTGCTTCGGAAGTTTGCTTGAGTGACTCCACCCGGAGCCTTTGGCTCAATAGCCTGACCCACGAGGCAGTGGGTGGTTTGGAGGTTTGCTTAAGGGACTCCGCCCGGAGCCTTTGGCTCAATAGCCTGAACCACAAGGCAGTGGGGAGCAGATCGAGCTGGGGAATGTGATTTCAGAGACAGATTGGGATCTGCTTGACGGCCGTCACACGCAGCCTTGGAGGTTCTGGAACAGTTATCATATGTTTTGCGACCGTAATTGGATACGCACCTGCGACCACGGCCAGACGCAGGTGGGTTTTTGGCGGGTTTGCACCCCTTTGACCGGGGGCTGCCTGGCTTGAGGCGGGCAGTAGCAAACCATTGAACACCCGGAGGTGTCCTCCCACCGTCAGAGACAATGCGTGGCACTCGTGCTCTACGCCAATCGAGCATTGAGAATATAACCCGTAGACCTGTTGTCTCCCATGGCTAGGTTTTACGGGAAGTGGGCCATCGACCACTTCCTAACCTCCGGAGAGGATGGACTCGGATACGGCCAGGGCGCCCACTCCTGACAGGAGAACGACTCGGGTCCTCAGCCAAAGCCATTGATTAAATGAACACCTGAAAGGCAGCGGGTCTAGGACATGGTCAGTTCACTGACTCATGCGGATTGGTGTCCTGGATCTTAGCAGGGAGAAGTGGGAAACCCAACTCCAACCCAGCGGTCGCCACGTGGAGGCGCCCAGGACATGAGACTATGGCGCAACAGTAGCAGCAGTAGGTAGACCATCTGTCAGGATCTAGCCACCACCAGCCTCAGCGCACCATAGGCTTTCCCGCCGGTGTCATACATAAAGATATATATACATATATATATATGCTAACAGTACTACCGGATTATTTCCTGACACAAATCCATGATTTCAGCCACACGAGCGCGTTCCAGCACTTTGTCTCGTAATGTCACTGTAGCCGTTTATATCAAGTGTGAAACCGAAGACATAGCAAATGTGCTCCGATAAGCCTGCTGATCCTATATACCACGTGCCTGCTCATTTTCGTGGCATTCTAGATGAGCTGAAGCAACGTAGAATAAAATTGACTACTTACGTGCACATGACTGGCACCAAAGTTCACCCGTGCTCTTTCAGTTCAAGGACGCTGTGACTGCGACGGAATTTGTTAAAAATCGTGACCGTATTCCAAAAAGTACTAGGGTCCAAGTACTGCAAGTCTTGATAAACCACACGCCCGTTCAAAGGAGATTCTGACGGAGCCGAGCCCAGTTGTCCCCTAATGGAATACAGATATCAACGCACGAATCGGACACAGGTCCTCCAAACCGGTGATCCACACAGGTCTGGAAGTCACAAGGGGCTCTCTAAATGGGACCATTTAAACGAGTAATAATAATGCAGATGGACCCTCTCTATAATATCCATTGACTGGACTGCTAGCCTCAAGGCTTCGGCAGTCGCATCACTCGACAACGAAACACATCACGTTGCTACAAAACTGCCGTATTGCTAAATGCTACAGTGTCGCCAAAACCAGAACGCCAGGGCCAATAACTAGCGACGGCGCACGAAGTTAACTCGGGTAATTCAGGTAAATAATGAAACCAGCCAATCACTGAGACTGCTGTACAATCTGATTAATGGCAATACTTATTGCAACCGATCCACATTAATATCGCAGCACAATTAAACGCAGGACCTAAGTAACAAACACCTTACCCTGATTATAGCACGATGCAGGACGAATTAGCGGTCTAACTTTTGTCTCACCATATATGCTTCTCTGTGGAATCGGCTGCCATTCACCATCAGGTCGTATGAGACAGTGCAATCCTTTCGCAGTAAGTTGGGAAGCTACCTCTACATGGACAACATTATGCCGTTTCCTTCGTGGGGAAGATCACTTGAACATCCATTCAATGAAAGCCCAGATAACGTCTAATGGATGTAATACCACCACTTTAAGCAACGTACTTAGCCCTCAGTGTCTAACACATACTCCAACTGCAACTTTGTCTGCTACCATCGCCTAAGACCAACATATCTGGCAAATACCTTGCCAGCTATGCACAAATATAAGAAGATAACCTGATATTGCTCTTTCAAGAGCATGACATCAATTGTGCGTGCTTGTTCTGTGCCAAATATTGTCACAGCTTTTCATTTGAGAAGAAATGTGCCCATCATTGCTTCATTATTATTATAAGTATTGTTATTATTGTGGGGTATATTGTTTCGACCAGAGGCGATACTAACCAGGCGCCCAAATATGCCACTGGTACTGTGCACCTTGGACCGATCACATATTATGCGTTCGATACGTTACGGACTGCTCGGACAGGCGCTGGAAATTTGGCACAGGGACCTCGACTACCGGCCGGGTCAGAATACGAACCAATGGTGACTCTTCCCGACAAAAGACTTGTTGAAGGGCTGCTGAGGGAATACGTTCAAACACCTCATCCTTGGTTGACCAACTACAGTCAGGTGTACTGTCGGTTACCTCTAGCACAGACACTCTCATCCCTGTCTGCATTCGGTTAACACCAAGGTGGTAACCTATTTGGGAGCATACCTGAATGCACTCCCTGTCCCCCATAGACGCATACACCTAGCCCCGTGCTTCCACCCATGGTGTCCCATTAGCTAATGTCCCATGATCATTAAGAGTGTCACTGATAGTGCGTGCATGTAGCCACGCAGGGAGAGACTGGATTCATGTGCGGGTGAACTTGACTGAACAGCAGGTGCATTTGATGATTTTATAAGCTAAGTTATTAGCGCTAGGCGCTAAGTTGCCTGTAATATATAGATGCATGCTTGGTACGTCTGTTAGGTTGAGTGATGTGGGGGATAAATGCACCAGTCTTCAGTTTTTAACATGATTCAGCGCGATGAATTATGCAGCACTGACAAGTTTCGAGAGGACGGATTAACCGCCTAATGTATTTCCGAATGTACATCAGTTGTCTGGCTGAATGACTTTTCTCTGCGCTTTAGTGATCCACACAATTGCCAACACTGGGCTTTGGAGCGTGCGAATAATCTTAGTCCCAGTCCTGCTGGAGAAATACGAGTAATGTGAACCCGAACCCGAAAGTTTGTTTAGATTTTGTGGCCCATTTCTTTTATGGCCATAATTGGCCTGCAGCCTACTTCACACAGTGTCTCTTGGTTCAGACACATGAATTCGAGCACGGAAGAACCATGCGCTGGTGGCCTTGCAATAGCCATGTTAGTTAATTGATGTTAGCAGGCACGCCGTTCTGTACTACGTACCGCACTTCTAGGTACAATCTTATACCATAGGTTTTAACGATCTGTTGAAAATTGTGGGAGCGAGCACCGTTCGGTTCCGACTGGCTTATTTGGTTTGTAAGATTACTAGCATATATTAATTGGTTTCCCTGATTTTATCCAGGTTTTGAAGCCTCAGAAAGAGGACCCTTACTATGTGGAATGTTTTTATCTTCACCACGAGGATAACAGAATACGAATCCCCGTCTATAAAGGTAAGAGTTTCTGTATTTACCATGTCATCGGTTTGTATCTGTCAATCTCCTCCAGATGAACTTTGGGCGATGTTGTAAAATCTGCACTTTGACTCCTTTGTAAGCGCATGCTGACCCTACACTGATTTTCACTTCTATGGGCGTCCCTATTTGTGTGGGCTTTACCGAGTGTTACTGCCCAACTCAGAACTATCCCTGAAAGAATACCTTAGCAATATTGTTTTACTCTTGTATTTTTGTCTGCTGTCTGAGGTGTATTGTGTCTGTGGGGTTCCACTCTGGTTCGTGTCTTGTCTAAGCGTGTGGGAGCCATGAGCACAGTGCCAGATGGCATTCCCAACTTCGAATTTTGCGCACTTGCCACCATGCGTTACTGTCAGGAACATTTGTGTAGATTGAAGCGAGAAGTAAGTTGATTCATTTTACAGCTTAGAGATTGCCACGGCCCGATGACCCAAGTGAGCGCGTAAAAATGTAGGTTACACAATATGTAACAATCTCGAAGGACCTATTGCATGAAGCACTATCATGGAGTGACCGAAACTAATGTATGACCCACTAGCTACGTAGGCTATGGTGTTTGATTTCAAAAACAAACAATAAATACTGAATACTCAAAGCTTACTTCACGATCAGGTGTCGAAGGGGAATTTGTGCAGGAACACTGGAAAACAGGAAAACCACTGTGGCCCATCCTGTATTTCCCGTATAATGAACGAACATTTTAGTCAACAGAGTCTGGAGCAGGTTACGCTGTATAGCAAATCTGTCATCTATGTTCATCCTCTGCTCTCCTCCACAGTCACATGGAGCCTGTTCTGTCCCATTGCTTTGAACACCGACGTGCAATTGATCCACTTGCAACGAACCGCTTCCCTACAGTGACATCGGTTACTAAGACCAATCTGAGCAGCTCGGGAGGAAATAGAAGGCAAAGGCGCAATCAAAATCTATGTATAATTGGAGAAGAAATCTTTAGTCTTTAAGTACAAAAGTTACCAAGTAGCAACAAATCCTTTACACATATAATGGATTCGTGTGATGTGGGGGAATCTGTCTGCCTCAAAAGAGGCGAGGATGCTGAAGCTCCCACGCAGGGATAAACCAATCACCAATATGACAGAGTTAATTCCTTAACTGCTCCACACTCTCATACCAAGTTTAAAGGTTCGGTGTCTTAGTAAACCAGACATTGCACTGTCAAAAATCGTACGATGAAGAGAGCACTCGCATACTTTCTGAGAACGACTTACGCAGACAATGCAGTTTAGGGGTCAATCCAATGCGACACCAGAAGGCTCGCTGTCATAGGTAAACGTAGTCAGAAAATACCACGTGGACCTTGCCACTGACTCGGTTGTACCAACAGCGATGAGGCAACTATTCCATACACTTGAACCGCTCGATCACTTTCACGGATTACCTGGGGCTCGTAATCCGTCGTGACACCGTTGCACAATTCCACAGAAGCCCTAGTACCTTAAAGGCGTGCGCCACATATCACGGTATGCAGGATGTTTTATCCGCCCGGCTAGAAGCGACTCGGTAAGAGGCAGTGATGGATATGATACCCATTTCTTGTACTCCCAACAGCAGAGTTTGAGTAAGATCCAATCTCTTAAAGAGCCTCAAAGTAATTCACTCGGGATCTTTTAACTCGCAAAATTGAAGAGATACGTGGGTGGTTACTTCTGATACGCTCCACTTCCCATGGTATGTGCAGGGTGGAAGCTCCGGTGGACCAGTAAGCGGCCACAAATATAGTTGGGTGCTTCAGACTCGGAGGATGGCGTATCCTATACCCACAACTAAGAGCAATCAATTTAACGAAGTTCAAATTCCAATCTTACAGAGACCCGTGTTTTGCTATCTTTATGGCAGTGTTCCAGCGCAAGGTGTAGTGGAAAAACGAGGTATGTATATTCTTATTTCGGGGAACAACTGTCAGAGTCTTCGCACATTTCCATTTTCGAGACCGAGTAGCTAGCTTAAAAGACTACATGTGAAGTGCCTTGCGATGCCCGGATGAAGACCAATATCCCGTGAATTCGCACAACATTCAATGCTCTTTCTAAGCGATGGGAGAGTACAGTTGACAACTGGTGCTTTGACAAAACATGCTTAGCACACCACTTGGAGCTGAGTAGAGTGGCCAGTTCGGCCGATAGTGTCAATGCCTTTCGTCCGTAACAGAGGATTGAAACCTTCCGCTTTAGACGCATTGTTGCATTCTAATGACCTTTGTTCCGTATGACACTGTTCCAAAGCGAGAATTTTTCTTCGACCTACCGTAGCATCGTCCACTACAAAAAACAACTTGTCAAAAACACCACGTGGTAGTGTTGTTAAACGAACATTCGTGCCTTTTTATGCGGGGAACGCTTTCCAGATGAAAACTAATCAGATGCTTGGATTATTTGCTGGAAAGATATGGACCCGAATCATCCAGCTGATACCACGAGGAAGTTGACCGACAAGCCAACCGGAGTGTGACTGTAAAGTCCTTGATAGGGCTAGCCGAACAACCTCCTCGTGCTGTCAGCTGGGTGGTTCGGGATTACCTGGTTCGAGCGAATAGTTCGGCGGCAGTGTTCCTGGAAGTGGCGGGTTTCCGTCTGACAAGCGTTCTCCCTATAAAAAGCCGCATATGTCGGCTTAACAACACTGCGAATTTGCAGTTGTGACTCGTCACAATTGTTATAAATAAATCCAATCCAGGGACGTCAATCATCTCTTAACCAAATGATGAAGCAAGCAAACAATCAAAAATGCAACAGCTCATTTACAAAACCAAGCAACACAGCTACAACCCTGGCTGGTGTCATCCAGTTCCGGATTTGCCTGTCACTATGGCCTCCATACGACAGCCACAGGATGCCTGCACCTACATTGGGACCATTAGTGCCCTGCGCTGCACCAACCACAGCTCCAACCACACACCCCATGACTAGTGTAAACGCGAAGCATTAAGACCTGGAGGCACGTGGATGGGAGCCACTTCTCATCAACGGAGCTGCCCCACCCTCCTTCAACATGCACAGCAGCCGCAGCAGAGGTATACAAGGCAGTGCCTGGACCGTAGTCCGCTCCACACTGGATACAATCACTCTTTGGGCCTAGCACGGCCACGAGGGCTGCGCACCGCGTCCCCCCATTAACGATTCAGTCTCCTAGAGTCAGAAATCGAGAAGAATGGTGTTAGGCAGGCAGGCACCGTGTCAACATTTACATCAAGCGCAGCCACACCGGGAATAACAAACAACAAACATAGAACTTAAAGGAAGGCAAATACACAACCTGACACGGAGTATGCAACAGAGAAACAGAATTGAACGAGCCAAATAAAGAAGAATAACCTTGTTCATATTGACGAGATCCAGTTTAAGTGTAAGTTGGTTTAGCTGCAAGCTTGGTTTTCAGCGTCCGGATCCTGATTTGCCAGCTACTGCGGCCTCCATACGACAGCCATAGGACGCCTGCGACTACAGATAGACCATGAGTGCCTTGCGCTGCAGCAATCACAGCTCCATCCACACACCCCATGTCCACTGTAAACCCGAAGCAATAAGACCGGATGGCATGTGGATGGGATCCAGGTTTCACCAATGGAGCCGGCCAACACTCCTACACAGGCAAACACAAGCACACTGTATTTGGGAATCAAGCACACACAAGGCGGTGGCTGGACTGTAGTCCGCTCCACACTGGATGGAACCAATCTTTGAACCTAACACGGTCACCAGGACCGTGCACCCCGTCCCCACCCCAGCAACTTTTCACAGTCTCCTGAAGTCAGGAATCGAGGAGCAAAGTGTTGGACAGGTAGGCCCCTTGTCAACATGCACATCAAGCGCAGCCACACCGGGGCTACCAAATGCACTGTCGCTTCCGAGCGATCGCAAAAAATTGTCCTCCTGCGTTATTCGCCTCTAAATATTTGGATTTATTCTCACAGAGACCTACGTGCCATCATTCGACTTGGATTCTTTTGCTCCTCCTACTACTGTTCATCTATTGGATCTATAATTCCTGGATCACCAACAAACTGTGCTCTTGCAACTTCGAAGTCAATCGTATTTGAACCATATCGGAAGATTTATTTTTCCTCTTGTCGCACAAGAACGCTTGTGGTCTCTTTTTAAATATCTTTTTGAGAGTCACCCGATCAGCTTACTACCGTTCCTTCAAATCGCTGTACAAAGCGATAGTCGTCAAGTCAGTCCGCCGTTGGAACAGCCACTGTCATAATTTGACAGTATTTTCCAAGTCATCTTGCTTCGTCTCAATCCTACGCTGCATCGCTGCCTATCCATTTACCGGCTAGATCGATAGCACGCACGTCACCTATCTACCCTAAGGAACGTGTGACTCATCTGGCCGCGACACGCCTGCCGCCGCTGACTTCAAAACAGCGCCGATAGTCACGCAACGAAAAGTGAAGCTAAGTCAAACACGGTGCGTCAGGATCTCTTTCCTCTTGCTACCCCTTAAAACAGCACGCCCACTGTGAACATGTCTCGTATGAAGAGCAAATGCGAATCATGTGCTAAAGTGGTAACATATGGTCTGGTGTGTACCATGTGTTTGAAATCCTATCACACTACCTGCCTTCGGATGGGACCGACGAAAACAAACACCGCAGAGGCGTTTTGGTTCTGCCAAGTATGCAATTCTATCCCATTTGTTAGCTGACTAGCTGTGCTACTGAAGAGGTATGAAAGACTAACCGAAGCGCTTGAGCAACTGGTGAGCTCCAGAGTTACAGCCGTAGGAAGAAACGGACCTGCACTTGTGAGTGAGAATAACACCCTGAATTCCTTAGTCAGACCGAAGAAGCGAGCCAGGCGTCCCAACCTAACCCCAACGACTCAGCCTCCAGCAGTATCAAAACCATTCTCTGTCCATCCTATGAGTAAAAACATTGCCTGCAGTGCGCCTGCCTCCACTTCTATACTGTGTGCTGCACCTAGTAATCTGTTCGCTACACACGAGACCGTAAA